ATGTATAAACAAACTCTTCAAAATTCAAGTGATCCAAAACAAAATTCTAAGAATAGCGGTGAATGCTCCCTGGTTTGTAAGAAACAGGCATATACATGAAGAGCTAGGAGTGGAGTCTATCTCGGCCTTTATACAAAAAACCACCTCCAAATTTCTGAAGTCTTTAGACAATGTTCCTGGTGCATTAGCTTTTCATCTTGACGAAGCAACTCAGAACAGGAGGCTACGTCGAAGGCTTCCTCAAGATCTATTGGAGGAATGAAACCTGAAGAAGATTAAATATTTTATCTAAATTAATTATGTTACAGGGTGTCTCAGGTCTGGGCGAACCCACTATGTTCTTTTTGTTATTTTCTTATTAGTTTTTTTTGTTAACACTTCTGTGTATAATGTCATCATTGAACCAGAAATAAATGCTGTAAAAAAATAAAATTATGTAAACAAAAATTAATAAAATGGTAAATAGCATATGTTTTAAATTTATAGTAAATTTTGATTTAATTTTAGGTGTATTTTTTACATATGAATGTATAAGATTCCTCTCTGATTTGTCTGATTTTTTCATGAATTGGATTTTATTTTTATCTTTGCATTACAGTACATTGAGAATTTGGTCGCCGTGTTCTTTTGAGTGTAGATAGATTTGCATTTCTTTTTTATACCCATTTTTTCCCTTGTTTTCTCATAAATTGGAATTTCGACACGATCTTCTAATTTGCCATAATTATGATTGTTTTCTAATATACAGGGTGAATAAAAGGTCAAGACCCCCCCATCTAATATTTTTCCAAGTAAATATACAGAGATATCCTTTTGGGGGTCGTGAAATCTTAGCAGGAAGTTTCTTTTTAACATTTTGAAATTTTCGAGTGTCCCCCCAAAAGTGGGGGATTTGGGGGGTAACTCGAATATTTTAAATGTAAACCCCCTTTAAATGACACCTCATTTTAAAGTGTTTACAAAATCTTAAAGAATGGTGAAAACTAGAGGTCGCTATCTCTTCTCTGACCAAAATGGTAGCCCGTCAAATGTTGTGGAAAATCAATGGTAAAATTGGTTCGTAATTGTAATATTGGCTACCATTTTGGATAGAGAAGAGATAGCGAACTCTGGTTTTCAGCATTCCTTAAGTTTTTGTAAACACTTCAAAATGAGGTGTCACTAAATGGGGGTTTACGTTTAAAATTTTTGAGTGTCCCCCCAAAAAGGGGGATTGGGTGGGCAACTAAAAACTTTTTAAGGGAAACCCTTTTGGAGGGAGACTCAAAAATTGCAAAATCATAAAATGAATCTTCCTGCTAAGATTGCACGACCCCCAAAAGGATATCTCTGTATATTTACTTGGAAAAATATTAGATGGGGGGATCTTGACTTTTTATTCACCCTTTATGTGTTGTGTACATTGAACGTTGGGATGTTTGATTGTTTAATTTTACGGCTTAGATATGTTCTTTGAATCGAATGAAAATGCTCTTCCAGTCTGACCAATGTAGAATTTGGGACAATTTAGACATTTAATTCTGTATATTCCAAACTTGTTATATTTGTCAAATGTATGTGGGTTCTTGTCAGATAGTTTATTAATTAAATTGAATGCGTTGATCCTAGTTTTATGGCTAATTTTGAATTTAGATGCATGAAATGTATTTCTGATTGCTTTGTTTAGTACCGAACTGTACGGAAGACAAATATACTCCTTCTTCTCTTCTTTGGCTGAATTTTGGTTTTTTTATATTTCGTATTTTCTTGATTAATTTGCCTATTAAACTAGCTTTGTATCCATTTCTTGTAGCTATGTCTTTTATAATGTATTTTTCCAAATTGTCATCATTTTCGTTTAGACGTAGTCGTAATAGTCTGTGTACCATAGAGTTGAAGCATGCTATATTATGTTGCCAAAGTCTTAGAAAAATACAAATTTACTCCAGACAAAATTTACAATTGCGACAAGACCCACTGTGGTTCAGGCACCCAATGTAGTTGCGAGAAAAGGATGCAAACGAGTTGGGCAAGCTGTTTCAACTGAGAGGGGAAGCATGATAACAATGTGTGCCATTATAAACTCAGCTGGAAACACCATTCCCCCAGTTTTTGTGTTTCCGAGAGCCCGATTACATGATTCTTTGATGACAGGATCTGTAACAGGTAGTATTTGACTTGCCAACATTCCTCAAAGCGGGTGGATGACATCCATTCTGTTCTACAAAGCTCTTGAACACATCCAGAAGCACACAACCTTCACTAAAGAATCACCTATACTGTTATCATGGATAACTATGATTCGCACTGCTCTTTAGAAAACATTCTGTATGCCAGAGACAATGGCATATTAATTTTGACTTTGCCTTCACACTGCAGCCATCGTTTGCAGCCGCTAGATGTAACGGTTTTAGGGCCATTCAAGAGGGTACTATCAGTGACTTAAAATGACTGGTTGGTCAGCCGCCCAGGTCAGAAAATTGTTATCAGTGAATTGACAGGTTTGTGCTCTCAAGTTTATTACCAATCATTTTCCAGAAAAAACATAATTTCAGTGTTCAAACAGTGCGGGATATGACCTTATTCTTCGACTCTGTTTTCCGAAGATGAATTTTGTAACGATAAACACCTCAGATTAATAAGGTTTTATTCAACTAAGACTGTACTACAACAAGTATCCTAACATTTTGTGTTTTGACTAAATCTAAACAAAGATTAAATCATATGTTTAAAATACAATAGTTTTGAACAAAAACAAGGAACAGAAGGAAGGCAAAATATTATGACATTCTTCCCGGCTCATTTTGACAAATCAGACTGTGTAGAAGTGAGGTGGTCTGCGATCTCGACAAGACTACCCCGGTTGACGATGTGGAGAAGTCCTTCGATCTTCTGCCTTTGTCACTCCGACGTCATCATGCTGACATATTCATGCTCTACAAGCTGGTTAACGGGTTTGTCGATTGCCCCAACATCCTGAGTGGTATCGACATTACCACACCCAGAGGCACCCGCTCTAGGACTATATTCAGCAGACGCTTTCTCCCAGCCTACTATTCTTACAACAGCGGAATTAGCCGACTACTCAAGGCTGGTAGCACGGCGGCTGCTCAACTGGATTTCTTCGGTGAGAAGCCCCTACGGTTCAAAAAGAAGGTCTCCCTGATCACTTGAGCAACCACACTCCAGCACATCTGCATATTTGTCTTGTCATCGTTGAAACTTGCTGTTCATATTCTTTGTTGATACTCTTTTTAGTTTATTCTTCTGTTATAATATTTATAGTTATTTATTACGTTGTTATTACTATTGTTATCACTATTTATTATTACTATTGTTATCACTATTTGTTATTACTTGCTATTACTATTTATTATCACTTTGTTATTACCATTGTTATTACTTCTCTAATTAGTAATATTGCAAATGCCATCTCAATTGTACACACATATTTTGTAAAAAGGTGCAATCCGTTGGGAAATAAATAAATAAATAAATAAAGATCGCCGCTTTTGAGCCGTTTGTATACTTCCATTTGGTTGAGAGGTTGATTGATTTCATGGATCATCAGGTTCTTGAACTTGATCCATGTCTGTTTCATGATTTTTGGGCGATCCGTTATCGTTCCCGTAAGGAGCCAGGTGCCTCAAGGAAACGGTTGATTCTCTGCCATCTCTTGAACGGATTCTGGCGTATTGAGGACCGGCATTGACTAGATCCACAACTTCTACTGCAGGTGAATACTTGCTGGCATGGTTGAACTTCTTCAGCAATAAAGGTCCTGGTGCTGAGAGCCACATGGGTAAGGATTTCCTCATGTGGTTGAACATCCTCTCATGTGGAGTAGCGTTTGTGGCAGTACAAAGCAAACTGCGCATGGAGTGCAGCGCCTCTTCTAACACTCCCATTGACTAACATGCAAACGGTGAGTTTTCAAAGCAAGGTTCACTGTCTTCCATATGATGCCGTTATACCTCTCAGCCTGCCCGTTTCCTCTGGGGTTGTAGGGCGTTGTACGACTGGATGCGATTCCACAGGAGTTAAGAAATTGTTGAACCTCTTGAGACAAAAAAAAAGGTTCCTTTATCGGAGTGAACATAAGAAGGCATTCCAAAAAGATAAAAGAGACTTTGTAAGTGTTTGATTATTGTCGATGTAGCCATGTCAGCACAAGGAAAGGCGAACGGGAATCGCGAAAATTCATCTATAACAGTTAGTATGTACTTGTTTCTTGTTGAAGATGGCAAAGGGCCCTTGAAGTCAATATTCAGTCTTTCAAAAGGTAGTGTTCCTTTGATTAATTGCCCTTGAAACTTACAGAATCTCGGTTTCAACTCTGCTCACACCGTACAAGATTAAGTCACCTTCCTAATATCGTCAAGTGAAAATGGGAGATTTTTTGTTCTAACCCAGTGATGGAGTCTCGTGACACCTGGATGACACAGTGAATTGTGAATGTCTTTGAGACTAAGGCTTCCTGTAACAGAACAAACACGAGAGAGAGTATCGGCAGTTGAGTTCTCTACACCCGGTCTGTAAACTATAATTGTATTTGTAACACGAAAGTTCCATGCGCCATCTTTGGATTTTTTTCATTTTTTATTTTTCCAGAGGCCTTGTTGTCAAACATGTAAGCGACCGACTTTTGGTCTGTAATTAACTGAAAACCCCTTCCTACAAGATAATACCTCCAGTGCTTTAATGGCTCCACAATTGCTTGAGCTTCTTTTTCTACTATGGAATGTTTCCGTTCGGTTGGTGTCAAAATTTTGGAGAAAAAGGCAACGGGTCTTCCCCTCTGAGATAGAGTCGCGCTCAGGGCGTGGTCAGAGGCATCTGTTTCTACAGTGAACTGTTCTTCATCATCGATTGGTGACTTGACCACTTCTGATATATCTGATTTCAGTTTGTGAATGTCTTGGATGGATTCTGGTAGTAGAGGAAGGCTTTGATTATTACTGAAAGCTTGTATTTTCTTTCAAAACTTAGGAATGAGATTTGCGTAGTGAGCAAACATCCCCATGGCTCGTCGAAGAGCTGCTATGTCCTTTGGTACTGGGAGTTCCATGAGTGGTCGGAGACGTTCAGGATCAGGTTTGATGGAACGATATGATATCAGGTACCCAAGTAAGTTTATTGACTTCTGGCGAAACTTATTTTTTTCATTGTTGATCGTCAAATTATACTTGTGGGAAACCGCTAGGAAGGCTTCAAGGTTCCGATCATGTTCTTCTTCAATGTCTCCCCCAATAGTTATGTCATCTAAATAAAAATTGGTTTTTACTTGTTTTTCCTGTGATATGATTCCGTTAATGACTCTTTGGAAAGCAGGCACTCCGTTAGTAGATTAGCACCTCAGATTAATAAGGTTTTATCAACTAAAACTGTACTACAACAAGTATCCTAACATTTTGTGTTTTGACTAAATGTAAACAAAGATTAAATCATATGTTTTGTAATACAATAGTTTTTAACAAATTAAACAAGGAACAGAAGGAAGGCAAAATACTAGGTGGCGTTCGCAGAGGCATCCACAAAATTGAGCGGAGTCATCAAGGGTTTATATTATATTGTTTTTGTCATACTGCAGTAAAACTAGTCGTTTTAATGCATGCGTTGAGGGTCTAAAGTAGCATTTTTACTCTTTAGGGAGTAAAAATAGATTTAGTCTCTATGGAGTGAACATCAGCTGTTGTCAACTCAGTTGGAAATTCCGATTGTAAACGATTGAATGTATCGAAAATATGTATCGATTCGTGCTTCGTAATCATTTTAACCTTCAGTCTACAGTCTCTTCCCATAGCATTTTAGCGTTGCAGATACATTAATCCATTCCCACACTCAACACTGCTTACCTTTACTACTTCCTTCACCACTTCCTACGTTACGGACCTATTTCTCTCCCTTTCCTTAGCATTATTGGATTGCAAACACCTTAAACTATTGGTCATAAACATATCTCACACTCCGAACAACTCGCCTTTACTACTTCCTTCACCACTTCCTACGTCACGGACCTGTTTCCCTCCCTTTCCATAGCATTTTAGAATTACAGATACTTTAATCTAATCGTCATAAAAAGTTTCCACAATCCGGACTGCTCGCCTTGACTACTTCCTTCACCACTTCCAACGTCATGGACCTGTTTCCCTCCCTTTCCATTGCATTTTAGAATTGCAGATTCCATAATCAAATCGTCATAAACAATTTCCACACTCCAGACAGCTCATCTTGACTAATTCCTCCACCACTTCCTACGGTGTTGCGGACCTGTTTTCCTCTCTTTCCAAAGCATCATAGGATTGCAGATACCTTTATCTAATCGTCACAAACAGTTCCCACAGTCCGGACTGCTTGCCTTTACTACTTCCTTCACCACTTCCTACGTCACGGACCTGTTTCCCTCCCTTCCCATACCATTATAGGATTGAAAATACCTTAATATAATGGCCATAAAAAGATCCCACACCCCGAACAGCTCGCCTTTACTACTTACTTCACCACTTTGGCACTTCCTACGTCGCGGACCTGTTTCCTCCCTTCCAATAGCATTTTAGGATTGCAGATACCTCAATCTTTACGTCATAAACGGTTCACACACTCCGGACAGCTCACCTTGACTACTTCCTTCACCACTTCCTACGTCGCGGACCTGTTTTCCTCCCTTCCCATAGAATTTTAGGAATGCAGATCCCTAAATCTAATCGTCATAAACAGTTTACACACTCCAGACTGCTCACCTTTACTACTTCCTTCACCACTTCCTATGTCACGGACCTCAAGCTAGTGTCGTCATTTTATTATATTTATGATCCATACCGTTTCTGTTCTAATATCTGTGGAAAAATGCCATCAGCTATTTCTTTATCTACTGCATTTAAATGTCAACAGCTGATCATATGTCTTTGTTTATGTGTCAAATACTGCTTCCATAAGGATTACATTGAAACTTTGAGACCCAGTGGGGCGGATTCCTGAGAGACTTTTTTAACGCCATATAGATTATGGCACTCACCGGTATGGTCTTTATCACCATGCAACATTTGAAAACGATTGATTCAGCCGTCTAGGAGGAGTTTGCGTATTACGAAATGCATAAGAGTCGACGTATAAGAGCTTCGCTCGCTCCGCTCAATTATGACAAATTTGCATGTGCTCCAGTAAATGAAGAAACAAGTCATCATGATAATAGTGACAATGCAAGTAATGAAACCCTTGAAGAACAAACAATTGGTCTGACGGATAGTCTTACTACAATCTCAGTTGAAGCATCCTCACCTTCTTGCAGCTTCACCCAAAATCAGTCTAAATCCCCTGTCCGAGAAGTTGTTAGGTCCCTTACCAACATATATCGTCAAAAGTGGTGGTAAGAGACACGTCGGAAAACAACCTGATGTGCCGTGCGCGTCACTTTTATATATACATACTCAGCGCGTGGGCAACAACTTACTGGCCGAAGCATATATCAGCAGCCAATGGAATAGAGGAAAAAAGGCGATGAGCATACGAGAAATCTCTTAAGAGAAAGCGCCTGAATGCTTGCTGACAGCTCCAAATTAAAACATAAGTATTAGTGTCTAAGTAATTGCATTAATTTATCAGGGAACCCAAATTCAATCATGAAGTAGTTTAAGTTCAGTTAGGGGTTGCCGGGGAGAAATCAGGGGGCTTTAGGATGTAGGTTTTCTTACTTAAAATGTCGGTCTTTTCCTTAAGAGAAGCCGACAACAGCTTGTCGAAACAAAATCTAAATTCACATGGTTCTAGATTGTTCAATAAATTAAACTTATGTGCTGTCAATTCGATTAATTCATTGCTAGATTGTCTTACTTCTATCAGTTTCCATTTTACAGTGTTAGTTCATTAATTAGTAATGTTGTAAATGCAATTCGTTCATAGTCAGGTAGTGGGTTAGTTATAAGGTTTACTTGTTATAAATTACTAAAGTCACAGCTCATCAAAAGCTGGCTTAAGGTGTTAACGGCAATGGGCACGATCAACCTCAGGGTAAAATCCTTTAAAATACAGTTAACAGTCCTTCTTAATTTCTCAACCTCATAGATACTATTAATAAGTTTATATATTTCCTTGTCACAATCCTCATGCATCCATACCACTCTTCCATTATCTTAGTCCACAGTCATGCTGAACCAATTACAAGTAGTATCACCCAGTCACCCATATTATCTACAGTAAATGTTACACTGAAAATCCCGACTCACATTTATCGAAATTTGGTACAAACGTTTAAACCTGTGATCAGATCATAGGAACGGGGTCTTATGGAGTAAAAAATAAGGTTTTCTCACTTTATGACCCTCAAAACATAAAAGTCCCAATTTCTCTCAAAATCATTTTGAAGAACTTAAAAATAATAATTTGGTATATCAAAGTGTTTATTTACGGCTATTGTAGGCCTCTCACAACATTTGTACAAGTTTATCGGTGTATCCACCCAAGGCAACGCTAGTTCCGAGGATACAAATCAGCTTAAGTTAAGTTTTCTTGTTTATAATTAAAGATGAAAATAAAATATGATGCAAAAGAACCCAACCAATTCAACCTCTAATCACTGTCTCCAAAAAACACTGTCCAAAATTTCTCAACAATTGAAATATTTTATGTTTCTTAAATGTATATCTTTGCCACAGTAAACGTCATTCAAAAGATTTTCCTCTTTTTACAGCTCAATCCTTTATACTTTAAGTAAACTAGTTTTAGAACATTAAATATATTTTTGATAGCTTCGATAGGAGACTAACTATGTTTTACTGGTAGCCTTATCCATTTGTTATTTCAGATGATTTTGAAAGAGCAATGAAAAATGTAGTACGGCTCCAAAAAGGGGAAGAAAACTGTGACCGAGTCCGAAGGGGAACTCAAAGGGAAGGGCCATTTCCGTAATCGCAAGTGGTCCTCTTCAGATGAAGAGTCAGAGAACGAAGATAGGCGCCATGCTACGAAGGTATCCAAGGCTATAGACCTACCACCTCCGCCACTACAAAATCTACACTGATGGGTGCTCACTTAGTTGCCAGCACATCATGGGCAACAGTGCTACTACCCCAAGGTCTACTACTGGAAATCCATTACAACCGCTAGTTTTCATAACAATACCATAACTAGTTTTATCCTAGGAAGAGGTAGTTATGGATTACTCGTGGAAGGAAGATATAAAAACAAAATTCATGGCCATAAAAAAAAACATATATATAAATTGTGCGTGCAGTTATCCCCCTCTCCTTTGTTGGGTCATCAACCCAGTCAATTTTTGCAGGGCAGAAACCAAGTGAGAGTCCTTAAGGCCTCAAATTCGCTGACAAACAAAACAGGTCTCGACCTTCAACGGAAGGGCAATAAAAAAAAATCATGCGGAGGTGCCAGCACGTTGGGAGCTCTAAGGTTTCACCTATTCTGAGTGGAGATGAGCCGGAACCCTAATGGCACCAATCGGTTTTTGCGAACCCAACACCGCCACGTTCCGATTTTTCATCAACCCGAAACGAAACTCCTGGTGTCAAAGGTGGGTAGGCGCTGCAACTGCAGTCAAATTTTTGTTGTTTTAGGGAAATTCACCTGCACTAACCTATTTAACCCTAGTAACCTAATTACACTACCTAGCCCAAGCGCATTCTTTTGGCGGAAGGGGGCGTGGTTGTGCCGTGCGCGTCACTTTTATATATACATACTCAGCGCGTGGGCAACAACTTACTGGCCGAAGCATATATCAGCAGCCAATGGAATAGAGGAAAAAAGGCGATGAGCATACGAGAAATCTCCTAAGAGAAAGCGCCTGAATGCTTGCTGACAGCTCCAAATTAAAACATAAGTATTAGTGTCTAAGTAATTGCATTAATTTATCAGGGAACCCAAATTCAATCATGAAGTAGTTTAAGTTCAGTTAGGGGTTGCCGGGGAGAAATCAGGGGGCTTTAGGATGTAGGTTTTCTAACTTAAAATGTCGGTCTTTTCCTTAAGAGAAGCCGACAACAGCTTGTCGAAACAAAATCTAAATTCACATGGTTCTAGATTGTTCAATAAATTAAACTTATGAGCTGTCAATTCGATTAATTCATTGATAGATTTCCTTACTTCTATCAGTTTCCATTTTACAGTGTTAGTTCATTAATTAGTAATGTTGTAAATGCAATTCGTTCATAGTCAGGTAGTGGGTTAGTTATAAGGTTTACTTGTTATAAATTACTAAAGTCACAGCTCATCAAAAGCTGGCTTAAGGTGTTAACGGCAATGGGCACGATCAACCTCAGGGTAAAATCCTTTAAAATACAGTTAACAGTCCTTCTTAATTTCTCAACCTCATAGATACTATTAATAAGTTTATATATTTCCTTGTCACAATCCTCATGCATCCATACCACTCTTCCATTATCTTAGTCCACAGTCATGCTGAACCAATTACAAGTAGTATCACCCAGTCACCCAGATTCTCTACAGTAAATGTTACACTGAAAATCCCGACTCACATTTATTGAAATTTGGTACAAACGTTTAAACCTACGTTTGTTCGAATGAGTTCACGAATCAATGTGATCAGATCATGGGAACGGGGTCTTATGGAGTAAAAATAGGGTTTTCTCACTTTATGACCCTCAAAACATAAAATGTCCCAATTTCTCTCAAAATCATTTTGAAGAACTTAAAAATAATAATTTGGTATATCGAAGTGTTTATTTACGGCTATTGTAGGCCTCTCACAACATTTGTACAAGTTTATCGGTGTATCCACCCAAGGCAACGCTAGTTCCGAGGATACAAATCAGCTTAAGTTAGGTTTTCTTGTTTATAATTAAAGATGAAAATAAAATATGATGCAAAAGAACCCAACCAATTCAACCTCTAATCACTGTCTCCAAAAAACACTGTCCAAAATTTCTCAACAATTGAAATATTTTATGTTTCTTAAATGTATATCTTTGCCCCAGTAAACGTCACTCAAAAGATTTTCCTCTTTTTACACCTCAATCCTTTATACTTTAAGTAAACTAGTTTTAGAACATTAAATATATTTTTGATAGCTTCGATAGGAGACTAACTATGTTTTACTGGTAGCCTTATCCATTTGTTATTTCAGATGATTTTGAAAGAGCAATGAAAAATGTAGTACGGCTCCAAAAAGGGGAAGAAAACTGTGACCGAGTCCGAAGGGGAACCCAAAGGGAAGGGCCATTCCCGTAATCGCAAGTGGTCCTCTTCAGATGAAGAGTCAGAGAACGAAGATAGGCGCCATGCTACGAAGGTATCCAAGGCTATAGGCCTACCACCTCCGCCACTACAAAATCTACTCTGATGGGTGCTCACTTAGTTGCCAGCACATCATGGGCATCAGTGCTACTACCCCAAGGTCTACTACCGGAAATCCACGACAACCGCTAGTTTTCATAACAATAACATAACTAGTTTTATCCTAGGAAGAGGTAGTTATGGATTACTCGTGGAAGGAAGATATAAAAACAAAATTCATGGCCATAAAAAAAAACATATATATAAATTGTGCGTGCAGTTATCCCCCTCTCCTTTGTTGGGTCATCAACCCAGTCAATTTTTGCAGGGCAGAAACCAAGTGAGAGTCCTTGAGGCCTCAAATCTTTCTTTTTTCGCTAAGGGGGGAGGAGCCCGATCGCTGACAAACAAAACAGGTCTCGACCTTCAACGGAAGGGCAATAAAAAAAAATCATGCGGAGGTGCCAGCACGTTGGGAGCTCTAAGGTTTCACCTATTCTGAGTGGAGATGAGCCGGAACCCTAATGGCACCAATCGGTTTTTGCGAACCCAACACCGCCACGTTTCGATTTTTCATCAACCCGAAACGAAACTCCTGGTGTCAAAGGTGGGTAGGCGCTGCAACTGCAGTCAAATTTTGGTTGTTTTAGGGAAATTCACCTGCACTAACCTATTTAACCCTAGTAACCTAATTACACTACCTAGCCCAAGCGCATTCTTTTGGCGGAAGGGGGCGTGGTTGTGCCGTGCGCGTCACTTTTATATATACATACTCAGCGCGTGGGCAACAACTTACTGGCCGAAGCATATATCAGCAGCCAATGGAATAGAGGAAAAAAGGCGATGAGCATACGAGAAATCTCCTAAGAGAAAGCGCCTGAATGCTTGCTGACAGCTCCAAATTAAAACATAAGTATTAGTGTCTAAGTAATTGCATTAATTTATCAGGGAACCCAAATTCAATCATGAAGTAGTTTAAGTTCAGTTAGGGGTTGCCGGGGAGAAATCAGGGGGCTTTAGGATGTAGGTTTTCTAACTTAAAATGTCGGTCTTTTCCTTAAGAGAAGCCGACAACAGCTTGTCGAAACAAAATCTAAATTCACATGGTTCTAGATTGTTCAATAAATTAAACTTATGAGCTGTCAATTCGATTAATTCATTGATAGATTTCCTTACTTCTATCAGTTTCCATTTTACAGTGTTAGTTCATTAATTAGTAATGTTGTAAATGCAATTCGTTCATAGTCAGGTAGTGGGTTAGTTATAAGGTTTACTTGTTATAAATTACTAAAGTCACAGCTCATCAAAAGCTGGCTTAAGGTGTTAACGGCAATGGGCACGATCAACCTCAGGGTAAAATCCTTTAAAATACAGTTAACAGTCCTTCTTAATTTCTCAACCTCATAGATACTATTAATAAGTTTATATATTTCCTTGTCACAATCCTCATGCATCCATACCACTCTTCCATTATCTTAGTCCACAGTCATGCTGAACCAATTACAAGTAGTATCACCCAGTCACCCAGATTCTCTACAGTAAATGTTACACTGAAAATCCCGACTCACATTTATTGAAATTTGGTACAAACGTTTAAACCTACGTTTGTTCGAATGAGTTCACGAACCAATGTGATCAGATCATGGGAACGGGGTCTTATGGAGTAAAAATAGGGTTTTCTCACTTTATGACCCTCAAAACATAAAATGTCCCAATTTCTCTCAAAATCATTTTGAAGAACTTAAAAATAATAATTTGGTATATCGAAGTGTTTATTTACGGCTATTGTAGGCCTCTCACAACATTTGTACAAGTTTATCGGTGTATCCACCCAAGGCAACGCTAGTTCCGAGGATACAAATCAGCTTAAGTTAGGTTTTCTTGTTTATAATTAAAGATGAAAATAAAATATGATGCAAAAGAACCCAACCAATTCAACCTCTAATCACTGTCTCCAAAAAACACTGTCCAAAATTTCTCAACAATTGAAATATTTTATGTTTCTTAAATGTATATCTTTGCCCCAGTAAACGTCACTCAAAAGATTTTCCTCTTTTTACACCTCAATCCTTTATACTTTAAGTAAACTAGTTTTAGAACATTAAATATATTTTTGATAGCTTCGATAGGAGACTAACTATGTTTTACTGGTAGCCTTATCCATTTGTTATTTCAGATGATTTTGAAAGAGCAATGAAAAATGTAGTACGGCTCCAAAAAGGGGAAGAAAACTGTGACCGAGTCCGAAGGGGAACCCAAAGGGAAGGGCCATTCCCGTAATCGCAAGTGGTCCTCTTCAGATGAAGAGTCAGAGAACGAAGATAGGCGCCATGCTACGAAGGTATCCAAGGCTATAGGCCTACCACCTCCGCCACTACAAAATCTACTCTGATGGGTGCTCACTTAGTTGCCAGCACATCATGGGCATCAGTGCTACTACCCCAAGGTCTACTACCGGAAATCCACGACAACCGCTAGTTTTCATAACAATAACATAACTAGTTTTATCCTAGGAAGAGGTAGTTATGGATTACTCGTGGAAGGAAGATATAAAAACAAAATTCATGGCCATAAAAAAAAACATATATATAAATTGTGCGTGCAGTTATCCCCCTCTCCTTTGTTGGGTCATCAACCCAGTCAATTTTTGCAGGGCAGAAACCAAGTGAGAGTCCTTGAGGCCTCAAATCTTTCTTTTTTCGCTATGGGGGGAGGAGCCCGATCGCTGACAAACAAAACAGGTCTCGACCTTCAACGGAAGGGCAATAAAAAAAAATCATGCGGAGGTGCCAGCACGTTGGGAGCTCTAAGGTTTCACCTATTCTGAGTGGAGATGAGCCGGAACCCTAATGGCACCAATCGGTTTTTGCGAACCCAACACCGCCACGTTCCGATTTTTCATCAACCCGAAACGAAACTCCTGGTGTCAAAGGTGGGTAGGCGCTGCAACTGCAGTCAAATTTTGGTTGTTTTAGGGAAATTCACCTGCACTAACCTATTTAACCCTAGTAACCTAATTACACTACCTAGCCCAAGCGCATTCTTTTGGCGGAAGGGGGCGTGGTTGTGCCGTGCGCGTCACTTTTATATATACATACTCAGCGCGTGGGCAACAACTTACTGGCCGAAGCATATATCAGCAGCCAATGGAATAGAGGAAAAAAGGCGATGAGCATACGAGAAATCTCCTAAGAGAAAGCGCCTGAATGCTTGCTGACAGCTCCAAATTAAAACATAAGTATTAGTGTCTAAGTAATTGCATTAATTTATCAGGGAACCCAAATTCAATCATGAAGTAGTTTAAGTTCAGTTAGGGGTTGCCGGGGAGAAATCAGGGGGCTTTAGGATGTAGGTTTTCTAACTTAAAATGTCGGTCTTTTCCTTAAGAGAAGCCGACAACAGCTTGTCGAAACAAAATCTAAATTCACATGGTTCTAGATTGTTCAATAAATTAAACTTATGAGCTGTCAATTCGATTAATTCATTGATAGATTTCCTTACTTCTATCAGTTTCCATTTTACAGTGTTAGTTCATTAATTAGTAATGTTGTAAATGCAATTCGTTCATAGTCAGGTAGTGGGTTAGTTATAAGGTTTACTTGTTATAAATTACTAAAGTCACAGCTCATCAAAAGCTGGCTTAAGGTGTTAACGGCAATGGGCACGATCAACCTCAGGGTAAAATCCTTTAAAATACAGTTAACAGTCCTTCTTAATTTCTCAACCTCATAGATACTATTAATAAGTTTATATATTTCCTTGTCACAATCCTCATGCATCCATACCACTCTTCCATTATCTTAGTCCACAGTCATGCTGAACCAATTACAAGTAGTATCACCCAGTCACCCAGATTCTCTACAGTAAATGTTACACTGAAAATCCCGACTCACATTTATTGAAATTTGGTACAAACGTTTAAACCTACGTTTGTTCGAATGAGTTCACGAATCAATGTGATCAGATCATGGGAACGGGGTCTTATGGAGTAAAAATAGGGTTTTCTCACTTTATGACCCTCAAAACATAAAATGTCCCAATTTCTCTCAAAATCATTTTGAAGAACTTAAAAATAATAATTTGGTATATCGAAGTGTTTATTTACGGCTATTGTAGGCCTCTCACAACATTTGTACAAGTTTATCGGTGTATCCACCCAAGGCAACGCTAGTTCCGAGGATACAAATCAGCTTAAGTTAGGTTTTCTTGTTTATAATTAAAGATGAAAATAAAATATGATGCAAAAGAACCCAACCAATTCAACCTCTAATCACTGTCTCCAAAAAACACTGTCCAAAATTTCTCAACAATTGAAATATTTTATGTTTCTTAAATGTATATCTTTGCCCCAGTAAACGTCACTCAAAAGATTTTCCTCTTTTTACACCTCAATCCTTTATACTTTAAGTAAACTAGTTTTAGAACATTAAATATATTTTTGATAGCTTCGATAGGAGACTAACTATGTTTTACTGGTAGCCTTATCCATTTGTTATTTCAGATGATTTTGAAAGAGCAATGAAAAATGTAGTACGGCTCCAAAAAGGGGAAGAAAACTGTGACCGAGTCCGAAGGGGAACCCAAAGGGAAGGGCCATTCCCGTAATCGCAAGAGTCAGAGAACGAAGATAGGCGCCATGCTACGAAGGTATCCAAGGCTATAGGCCTACCACCTCCGCCACTACAAAATCTACTCTGATGGGTGCTCACTTAGTTGCCAGCACATCATGGGCATCAGTGCTACTACCCCAAGGTCTACTACCGGAAATCCACGACAACCGCTAGTTTTCATAACAATAACATAACTAGTTTTATCCTAGGAAGAGGTAGTTATGGATTACTCGTGGAAGGAAGATATAAAAACAAAATTCATGGCCATAAAAAAAACATATATATAAATTGTGCGTGCAGTTATCCCCCTCTCCTTTGTTGGGTCATCAACCCAGTCAATTTTTGCAGGGCAGAAACCAAGTGAGAGTCCTTAAGGCCTCAAATTCGCTGACAAACAAAACAGGTCTCGACCATCAACGGAAGGGCAATAAAAAAAATCATGCGGAGGTGCCAGCACGTTGGGAGCTCTAAGGTTTCACCTATTCTGAGTGGAGATGAGCCGGAACCCTAATGACACCAATCGGTTTTTGCAAACCCAACACCGCCGAATTCCGATTTTTCATCAACCCGAAACAAAACTCCTGGTGTCAAAGGTGGGTAGGCGCTGCAACTGCAGTCAAATTTTGGTTGTTTTAGGGAAATTCACCTGCACTAACCTATTTAACCCTAGTAACCTAATCACACTACCTAGCCCAAGCGCATTCTTTTGGCGGAAGGGGGCGTGGTTGTGCCGTGCGCGTCACTTTTATATATACATACTCAGCGCGTGGGCAACAACTTACTGGCCGAAGCATATATCAGCAGCCAATGGAATAGAGGAAAAAAGGCGATGAGCATACGAGAAATCTCCTAAGAGAAAGCGCCTGAATGCTTGCTGACAGCTCCAAATTAAAACATAAGTATTAGTGTCTAAGTAATTGCATTAATTTATCAGGGAACCCAAATTCAATCATGAAGTAGTTTAAGTTCAGTTAGGGGTTGCCGGGGAGAAATCAGGGGGCTTTAGGATGTAGGTTTTCTAACTTAAAATGTCGGTCTTTTCCTTAAGAGAAGCCGACAACAGCTTGTCGAAACAAAATCTAAATTCACATGGTTCTAGATTGTTCAATAAATTAAACTTATGAGCTGTCAATTCGATTAATTCATTGATAGATTTCCTTACTTCTATCAGTTTCCATTTTACAGTGTTAGTTCATTAATTAGTAATGTTGTAAATGCAATTCGTTCATAGTCAGGTAGTGGGTTAGTTATAAGGTTTACTTGTTATAAATTACTAAAGTCACAGCTCATCAAAAGCTGGCTTAAGGTGTTAACGGCAATGGGCACGATCAACCTCAGGGTAAAATCCTTTAAAATACAGTTAACAGTCCTTCTTAATTTCTCAACCTCATAGATACTATTAATAAGTTTATATATTTCCTTGTCACAATCCTCATGCATCCATACCACTCTTCCATTATCTTAGTCCACAGTCATGCTGAACCAATTACAAGTAGTATCACCCAGTCACCCAGATTCTCTACAGTAAATGTTACACTGAAAATCCCGACTCACATTTATTGAAATTTGGTACAAACGTTTAAACCTACGTTTGTTCGAATGAGTTCACGAATCAATGTGATCAGATCATGGGAACGGGGTCTTATGGAGTAAAAATAGGGTTTTCTCACTTTATGACCCTCAAAACATAAAATGTCCCAATTTCTCTCAAAATCATTTTGAAGAACTTAAAAATAATAATTTGGTATATCGAAGTGTTTATTTACGGCTATTGTAGGCCTCTCACAACATTTGTACAAGTTTATCGGTGTATCCACCCAAGGCAACGCTAGTTCCGAGGATACAAATCAGCTTAAGTTAGGTTTTCTTGTTTATAATTAAAGATGAAAATAAAATATGATGCAAAAGAACCCAACCAATTCAACCTCTAATCACTGTCTCCAAAAAACACTGTCCAAAATTTCTCAACAATTGAAATATTTTATGTTTCTTAAATGTATATCTTTGCCCCAGTAAACGTCACTCAAAAGATTTTCCTCTTTTTACACCTCAATCCTTTATACTTTAAGTAAACTAGTTTTAGAACATTAAATATATTTTTGATAGCTTCGATAGGAGACTAACTATGTTTTACTGGTAGCCTTATCCATTTGTTATTTCAGATGATTTTGAAAGAGCAATGAAAAATGTAGTACGGCTCCAAAAAGGGGAAGAAAACTGTGACCGAGTCCGAAGGGGAAGCCAAAGGGAAGGGCCATTCCCGTAATCGCAAGAGTCAGAGAACGAAGATAGGCGCCATGCTACGAAGGTATCCAAGGCTATAGGCCTACCACCTCCGCCACTACAAAATCTACTCTGATGGGTGCTCACTTAGTTGCCAGCACATCATGGGCATCAGTGCTACTACCCCAAGGTCTACTACCGGAAATCCACGACAACCGCTAGTTTTCATAACAATAACATAACTAGTTTTATCCTAGGAAGAGGTAGTTATGGATAACTCGTGGAAGGAAGATATAAAAACAAAATTCATGGCCATAAAAAAAACATATATATAAATTGTGCGTGCAGTTATCCCCCTCTCCTTTGTTGGGTCATCAACCCAGTCAATTTTTGCAGGGCAGAAACCAAGTGAGAGTCCTTGAGGCCTCAAATCTTTCTTTTTTCGCTAAGGGGGGAGGAGCCCGATCGCTGACAAACAAAACAGGTCTCGACCTTCAACGGAAGGGCAATAAAAAAAAATCATGCGGAGGTGCCAGCACGTTGGGAGCTCTAAGGTTTCACCTATTCTGAGTGGAGATGAGCCGGAACCCTAATGGCACCAATCGGTTTTTGCGAACCCAACACCGCCACGTTCCGATTTTTCATCAACCCGAAACGAAACTCCTGGTGTCAAAGGTGGGTAGGCGCTGCAACTGCAGTCACATTTTTGTTGTTTTAGGGAAATTCACCTGCACTAACCTATTTAACCCTAGTAACCTAATTACACTACCTAGCCCAAGCGCATTCTTTTGGCGGAAGGGGGCGTGGTTGTGCCGTGCGCGTCACTTTTATATATACATACTCAGCGCGTGGGCAACAACTTACTGGCCGAAGCATATATCAGCAGCCAATGGAATAGAGGAAAAAAGGCGATGAGCATACGAGAAATCTCCTAAGAGAAAGCGCCTGAATGCTTGCTGACAGCTCCAAATTAAAACATAAGTATTAGTGTCTAAGTAATTGCATTAATTTATCAGGGAACCCAAATTCAATCATGAAGTAGTTTAAGTTCAGTTAGGGGTTGCCGGGGAGAAATCAGGGGGCTTTAGGATGTAGGTTTTCTAACTTAAAATGTCGGTCTTTTCCTTAAGAGAAGCCGACAACAGCTTGTCGAAACAAAATCTAAATTCACATGGTTCTAGATTGTTCAATAAATTAAACTTATGAGCTGTCAATTCGATTAATTCATTGCTAGATTTCCTTACTTCTATCAGTTTCCATTTTACAGTGTTAGTTCATTAATTAGTAATGTTGTAAATGCAATTCGTTCATAGTCAGGTAGTGGGTTAGTTATAAGGTTTACTTGTTATAAATTACTAAAGTCACAGCTCATCAAAAGCTGGCTTAAGGTGTTAACGGCAATGGGCACGATCAACCTCAGGGTAAAATCCTTTAAAATACAGTTAACAGTCCTTCTTAATTTCTCAACCTCATAGATACTATTAATAAGTTTATATATTTCCTTGTCACAATCCTCATGCATCCATACCACTCTTCCATTATCTTAGTCCACAGTCATGCTGAACCAATTACAAGTAGTATCACCCAGTCACCCAGATTCTCTACAGTAAATGTTACACTGAAAATCCCGACTCACATTTATTGAAATTTGGTACAAACGTTTAAACCTACGTTTGTTCGAATGAGTTCACGAATCAATGTGATCAGATCATGGGAACGGGGTCTTATGGAGTAAAAATAGGGTTTTCTCACTTTATGACCCTCAAAACATAAAATGTCCCAATTTCTCTCAAAATCATTTTGAAGAACTTAAAAATAATAATTTGGTATATCGAAGTGTTTATTTACGGCTATTGTAGGCCTCTCACAACATTTGTACAAGTTTATCGGTGTATCCACCCAAGGCAACGCTAGTTCCGAGGATACAAATCAGCTTAAGTTAGGTTTTCTTGTTTATAATTAAAGATGAAAATAAAATATGATGCAAAAGAACCCAACCAATTCAACCTCTAATCACTGTCTCCAAAAAACACTGTCCAAAATTTCTCAACAATTGAAATATTTTATGTTTCTTAAATGTATATCTTTGCCCCAGTAAACGTCACTCAAAAGATTTTCCTCTTTTTACACCTCAATCCTTTATACTTTAAGTAAACTAGTTTTAGAACATTAAATATATTTTTGATAGCTTCGATAGGAGACTAACTATGTTTTACTGGTAGCCTTATCCATTTGTTATTTCAGATGATTTTGAAAGAGCAATGAAAAATGTAGTACGGCTCCAAAAAGGGGAAGAAAACTGTGACCGAGTCCGAAGGGGAACCCAAAGGGAAGGGCCATTCCCGTAATCGCAAGAGTCAGAGAACGAAGATAGGCGCCATGCTACGAAGGTATCCAAGGCTATATGCCTACCACCTCCGCCACTACAAAATCTACTCTGATGGGTGCTCACTTAGTTGCCAGCACATCATGGGCATCAGTGCTACTACCCCAAGGTCTACTACCGGAAATCCACGACAACCGCTAGTTTTCATAACAATAACATAACTAGTTTTATCCTAGGAAGAGGTAGTTATGGATTACTCGTGGAAGGAAGATATAAAAACAAAATTCATGGCCATAAAAAAAACATATATATAAATTGTGCGTGCAGTTATCCCCCTCTCCTTTGTTGGGTCATCAACCCAGTCAATTTTTGCAGGGCAGAAACCAAGTGAGAGTCCTTGAGGCCTCAAATCTTTCTTTTTTCGCTAAGGGGGGAGGAGCCCGATCGCTGACAAACAAAACAGGTCTCGACCTTCAACGGAAGGGCAATAAAAAAAAATCATGCGGAGGTGCCAGCACGTTGGGAGCTCTAAGGTTTCACCTATTCTGAGTGGAGATGAGCCGGAACCCTAATGGCACCAATCGGTTTTTGCGAACCCAACACCGCCACGTTCCGATTTTTCATCAACCCGAAACGAAACTCCTGGTGTCAAAGGTGGGTAGGCGCTGCAACTGCAGTCAAATTTTGGTTGTTTTAGGGAAATTCACCTGCACTAACCTATTTAACCCTAGTAACCTAATTACACTACCTAGCCCAAGCGCATTCTTTTGGCGGAAGGGGGCGTGGTTGTGCCGTGCGCGTCACTTTTATATATACATACTCAGCGCGTGGGCAACAACTTACTGGCCGAAGCATATATCAGCAGCCAATGGAATAGAGGAAAAAAGGCGATGAGCATACGAGAAATCTCCTAAGAGAAAGCGCCTGAATGCTTGCTGACAGCTCCAAATTAAAACATAAGTATTAGTGTCTAAGTAATTGCATTAATTTATCAGGGAACCCAAATTCAATCATGAAGTAGTTTAAGTTCAGTTAGGGGTTGCCGGGGAGAAATCAGGGGGCTTTAGGATGTAGGTTTTCTAACTTAAAATGTCGGTCTTTTCCTTAAGAGAAGCCGACAACAGCTTGTCGAAACAAAATCTAAATTCACATGGTTCTAGATTGTTCAATAAATTAAACTTATGAGCTGTCAATTCGATTAATTCATTGATAGATTTCCTTACTTCTATCAGTTTCCATTTTACAGTGTTAGTTCATTAATTAGTAATGTTGTAAATGCAATTCGTTCATAGTCAGGTAGTGGGTTAGTTATAAGGTTTACTTGTTATAAATTACTAAAGTCACAGCTCATCAAAAGCTGGCTTAAGGTGTTAACGGCAATGGGCACGATCAACCTCAGGGTAAAATCCTTTAAAATACAGTTAACAGTCCTTCTTAATTTCTCAACCTCATAGATACTATTAATAAGTTTATATATTTCCTTGTCAAAATCCTCATGCATCCATACCACTCTTCCATTATCTTAGTCCACAGTCATGCTGAACCAATTACAAGTAGTATCACCCAGTCACCCAGATTCTCTACAGTAAATGTTACACTGAAAATCCCGACTCACATTTATTGAAATTTGGTACAAACGTTTAAACCTACGTTTGTTCGAATGAGTTCACGAATCAATGTGATCAGAACATGGGAACGGGGTCTTATGGAGTAAAAATAGGGTTTTCTCACTTTATGACCCTCAAAACATAAAATGTCCCAATTTCTCTCAAAATCATTTTGAAGAACTTAAAAATAATAATTTGGTATATCGAAGTGTTTATTTACGGCTATTGTAGGCCTCTCACAACATTTGTACAAGTTTATCGGTGTATCCACCCAAGGCAACGCTAGTTCCGTGGATACAAATCAGCTTAAGTTAGGTTTTCTTGTTTATAATTAAAGATGAAAATAAAATATGATGCAAAAGAACCCAACCAATTCAACCTCTAATCACTATCTCCAAAAAACACTGTCCAAAATTTCTCAACAATTGAAATATTTTATGTTTCTTAAATGTATATCTTTGCCCCAGTAAACGTCACTCAAAAGATTTTCCTCTTTTTACACCTCAATCCTTTATACTTTAAGTAAACTAGTTTTAGAACATTAAATATATTTTTGATAGCTTCGATAGGAGACTAACTATGTTTTACTGGTAGCCTTATCCATTTGTTATTTCAGATGATTTTGAAAGAGCAATGAAAAATGTAGTACGGCTCCAAAAAGGGGAAGAAAACTGTGACCGAGTCCGAAGGGGAACCCAAAGGGAAGGGCCATTCCCGTAATCGCAAGTGGTCCTCTTCAGATGAAGAGTCAGAGAACGAAGATAGGCGCCATGCTACGAAGGTATCCAAGGCTATAGGCCTACCACCTCCGCCACTACAAAATCTACTCTGATGGGTGCTCACTTAGTTGCCAGCACATCATGGGCATCAGTGCTACTACCCCAAGGTCTACTACCGGAAATCCACGACAACCGCTAGTTTTCATAACAATAACCTAACTAGTTTTATCCTAGGAAGAGGTAGTTATGGATTACTCGTGGAAGGAAGATATAAAAACAAAATTCATGGCCATAAAAAAAACATATATATAAATTGTGCGTGCAGTTATCCCCCTCTCCTTTGTTGGGTCATCAACCCAGTCAATTTTTGCAGGGCAGAAACCAAGTGAGAGTCCTTAAGGCCTCAAATTCGCTGACAAACAAAACAGGTCTCGACCATCAACGGAAGGGCAATAAAAAAAAATCATGCGGAGGTGCCAGCACGTTGGGAGCTCTAAGGTTTCACCTATTCTGAGTGGAGATGAGCCGGAACCCTAATGACACCAATCGGTTTTTGCAAACCCAACACCGCCGCGTTCCGATTTTTCATCAACCCGAAACAAAACTCCTGGTGTCAAAGGTGGGTAGGCGCTGCAACTGCAGTCAAATTTTGGTTGTTTTAGGGAAATTCACCTGCACTAACCTATTTAACCCTAGTAACCTAATCACACTACCTAGCCCAAGCGCATTCTTTTGGCGGAAGGGGGCGTGGTTGTGCCGTGCGCGTCACTTTTATATATACATACTCAGCGCGTGGGCAACAACTTACTGGCCGAAGCATATATCAGCAGCCAATGGAATAGAGGAAAAAAGGCGATGAGCATACGAGAAATCTCCTAAGAGAAAGCGCCTGAATGCTTGCTGACAGCTCCAAATTAAAACATAAGTATTAGTGTCTAAGTAATTGCATTAATTTATCAGGGAACCCAAATTCAATCATGAAGTAGTTTAAGTTCAGTTAGGGGTTGCCGGGGAGAAATCAGGGGGCTTTAGGATGTAGGTTTTCTAACTTAAAATGTCGGTCTTTTCCTTAAGAGAAGCCGACAACAGCTTGTCGAAACAAAATCTAAATTCACATGGTTCTAGATTGTTCAATAAATTAAACTTATGAGCTGTCAATTCGATTAATTCATTGATAGATTTCCTTACTTCTATCAGTTTCCATTTTACAGTGTTAGTTCATTAATTAGTAATGTTGTAAATGCAATTCGTTCATAGTCAGGTAGTGGGTTAGTTATAAGGTTTACTTGTTATAAATTACTAAAGTCACAGCTCATCAAAAGCTGGCTTAAGGTGTTAACGGCAATGGGCACGATCAACCTCAGGGTAAAATCCTTTAAAATACAGTTAACAGTCCTTCTTAATTTCTCAACCTCATAGATACTATTAATAAGTTTATATATTTCCTTGTCACAATCCTCATGCATCCATACCACTCTTCCATTATCTTAGTCCACAGTCATGCTGAACCAATTACAAGTAGTATCACCCAGTCACCCAGATTCTCTACAGTAAATGTTACACTGAAAATCCCGACTCACATTTATTGAAATTTGGTACAAACGTTTAAACCTACGTTTGTTCGAATGAGTTCACGAATCAATGTGATCAGATCATGGGAACGGGGTCTTATGGAGTAAAAATAGGGTTTTCTCACTTTATGACCCTCAAAACATAAAATGTCCCAATTTCTCTCAAAATCATTTTGAAGAACTTAAAAATAATAATTTGGTATATCGAAGTGTTTATTTACGGCTATTGTAGGCCTCTCACAACATTTGTACAAGTTTATCGGTGTATCCACCCAAGGCAACGCTAGTTCCGTGGATACAAATCAGCTTAAGTTAGGTTTTCTTGTTTATAATTAAAGATGAAAATAAAATATGATGCAAAAGAACCCAACCAATTCAACCTCTAATCACTATCTCCAAAAAACACTGTCCAAAATTTCTCAACAATTGAAATATTTTATGTTTCTTAAATGTATATCTTTGCCCCAGTAAACGTCACTCAAAAGATTTTCCTCTTTTTACACCTCAATCCTTTATACTTTAAGTAAACTAGTTTTAGAACATTAAATATATTTTTGATAGCTTCGATAGGAGACTAACTATGTTTTACTGGTAGCCTTATCCATTTGTTATTTCAGATGATTTTGAAAGAGCAATGAAAAATGTAGTACGGCTCCAAAAAGGGGAAGAAAACTGTGACCGAGTCCGAAGGGGAACCCAAAGGGAAGGGCCATTCCCGTAATCGCAAGTGGTCCTCTTCAGATGAAGAGTCAGAGAACGAAGATAGGCGCCATGCTACGAAGGTATCCAAGGCTATAGGCCTACCACCTCCGCCACTACAAAATCTACTCTGATGGGTGCTCACTTAGTTGCCAGCACATCATGGGCATCAGTGCTACTACCCCAAGGTCTACTACCGGAAATCCACGACAACCGCTAGTTTTCATAACAATAACCTAACTAGTTTTATCCTAGGAAGAGGTAGTTATGGATTACTCGTGGAAGGAAGATATAAAAACAAAATTCATGGCCATAAAAAAAACATATAATTATATAAATTGTGCGTGCAGTTATCCCCCTCTCCTTTGTTGGGTCATCAACCCAGTCAATTTTTGCAGGGCAGAAACCAAGTGAGAGTCCTTGAGGCCTCAAATCTTTCTTTTTTCGCTAAGGGGGGAGGAGCCCGATCGCTGACAAACAAAACAGGTCTCGACCTTCAACGGAAGGGCAATAAAAAAAAATCATGCGGAGGTGCCAGCACGTTGGGAGCTCTAAGGTTTCACCTATTCTGAGTGGAGATGAGCCGGAACCCTAATGGCACCAATCGGTTTTTGCGAACCCAACACCGCCACGTTCCGATTTTTCATCAACCCGAAACGAAACTCCTGGTGTCAAAGGTGGGTAGGCGCTGCAACTGCAGTCAAATTTTGGTTGTTTTAGGGAAATTCACCTGCACTAACCTATTTAACCCTAGTAACCTAATTACACTACCTAGCCCAAGCGCATTCTTTTGGCGGAAGGGGGCGTGGTTGTGCCGTGCGCGTCACTTTTATATATACATACTCAGCGCGTGGGCAACAACTTACTGGCCGAAGCATATATCAGCAGCCAATGGAATAGAGGAAAAAAGGCGATGAGCATACGAGAAATCTCCTAAGAGAAAGCGCCTGAATGCTTGCTGACAGCTCCAAATTAAAACATAAGTATTAGTGTCTAAGTAATTGCATTAATTTATCAGGGAACCCAAATTCAATCATGAAGTAGTTTAAGTTCAGTTAGGGGTTGCCGGGGAGAAATCAGGGGGCTTTAGGATGTAGGTTTTCTAACTTAAAATGTCGGTCTTTTCCTTAAGAGAAGCCGACAACAGCTTGTCGAAACAAAATCTAAATTCACATGGTTCTAGATTGTTCAATAAATTAAACTTATGAGCTGTCAATTCGATTAATTCATTGATAGATTTCCTTACTTCTATCAGTTTCCATTTTACAGTGTTAGTTCATTAATTAGTAATGTTGTAAATGCAATTCGTTCATAGTCAGGTAGTGGGTTAGTTATAAGGTTTACTTGTTATAAATTACTAAAGTCACAGCTCATCAAAAGCTGGCTTAAGGTGTTAACGGCAATGGGCACGATCAACCTCAGGGTAAAATCCTTTAAAATACAGTTAACAGTCCTTCTTAATTTCTCAACCTCATAGATACTATTAATAAGTTTATATATTTCCTTGTCACAATCCTCATGCATCCATACCACTCTTCCATTATCTTAGTCCACAGTCATGCTGAACCAATTACAAGTAGTATCACCCAGTCACCCAGATTCTCTACAGTAAATGTTACACTGAAAATCCCGACTCACATTTATTGAAATTTGGTACAAACGTTTAAACCTACGTTTGTTCGAATGAGTTCACGAATCAATGTGATCAGATCATGGGAACGGGGTCTTATGGAGTAAAAATAGGGTTTTCTCACTTTATGACCCTCAAAAACATAAAATGTCCCAATTTCTCTCAAAATCATTTTGAAGAACTTAAAAATAATAATTTGGTATATCGAAGTGTTTATTTACGGCTATTGTAGGCCTCTCACAACATTTGTACAAGTTTATCGGTGTATCCACCCAAGGCAACGCTAGTTCCGAGGATACAAATCAGCTTAAGTTAGGTTTTCTTGTTTATAATTAAAGATGAAAATAAAATATGATGCAAAAGAACCCAACCAATTCAACCTCTAATCACTGTCTCCAAAAAACACTGTCCAAAATTTCTCAACAATTGAAATATTTTATGTTTCTTAAATGTATATCTTTGCCCCAGTAAACGTCACTCAAAAGATTTTCCTCTTTTTACACCTCAATCCTTTATACTTTAAGTAAACTAGTTTTAGAACATTAAATATATTTTTGATAGCTTCGATAGGAGACTAACTATGTTTTACTGGTAGCCTTATCCATTTGTTATTTCAGATGATTTTGAAAGAGCAATGAAAAATGTAGTACGGCTCCAAAAAGGGGAAGAAAACTGTGACCGAGTCCGAAGGGGAACCCAAAGGGAAGGGCCATTCCCGTAATCGCAAGTGGTCCTCTTCCCACTTCTTCACTAACAAGAAAACCTAACTTAAGCTGATTTGTATCCTCGGAACTAGCGTTGCCTTGGGTGGATACACCGATAAACTTGTACAAATGTTGTGAGAGGCCTACAATAGCCGTAAATAAACACTTCGATATACCAAATTATTATTTTTAAGTTCTTCAAAATGATTTTGAGAGAAATTGGGACATTTTATGTTTTTGAGGGTCATAAAGTGAGAAAACCCTATTTTTACTCCATAAGACCCCGTTCCCATGATCTGATCACATTGATTCGTGAACTCATTCGAACAAACGTAGGTTTAAACGTTTGTACCAAATTTCAATAAATGTGAGTCGGGATTTTCAGTGTAACATTTACTGTAGAGAATCTGGGTGACTGGGTGATACTACTTGTAATTGGTTCAGCATGACTGTGGACTAAGATAATGGAAGAGTGGTATGGATGCATGAGGATTGTGACAAGGAAATAT